GTAGGAGCAGGAGGGGCGCCGGGGGTGACGCTGCGGGAGCCGCTGCCAGCGCCGGGGCGACAGTCGGCAACCCGGGCCCAGAGCAGGCGGGCCGGAGGCCGAGTCAGCCGCCCGGGCCCTCCGGAGCGACCCCAGGCCGAGCGGCAGCGGTTTCTGCAGGGCGGGGAGGCGCTGCCACGCCGAGCGGGGGAAGATGTTCAACGTGGAGTCGGTGGAACGGGTGGAGCTGTGCGAGAGCCTTCTCACTTGGGTATGTGGTGGCCGGAGGGGCGCCGGGGGGACCCCTCCCCCAGGCCGCCTCCCGGGACGCCCCCTCGCTGGTCCCGGGGGGCGAGCGCCGAGGGCCACGGTGCCGTCACATCCGGGGCCTGGGGCGGGCGGCGCCAGGTTCGCCGGTGCGGGCCGCGTCTGCACCCGCGGCCGGGCCGGGGTCGGCGAGGAGGAGAGAAACTTGCCGGGCCCGAGGCGTTGGCTGTTCCCAGAGTGGAAACCCGCCCGGTGGAGGCTAATGACGGGGTGCAGGCGACACTGTAATCAGGGTAGTTGGCAGCGCTGAGGCGCGAGTCCTCAGCTCGGCTTTCAGGGACACTGGAGCCTCCGCTGTCCCCGCGCTGGGCGACGCCGGCGGAGGGACCCGGGACCCGGCTGCGGCGCCCCTCGCCTTTGTTGTCAGGCTCAATGGGGATGGTGCGCAGCCCCTGGAGGGACGAGCCCTGCCCGCTGGAAAGGAAAAGTGCTTTTAAGGGAGCGTAGGAAAAATACGAAAAAGGCACCAGGGGCAGGGTATTTAAAATGCGAGATGCATTTTGGCGATTAGAAAGTGAGCGATGTGAAGAGACTTAGAAAAGGCATCAAGGGTAAACACTTAGATCTGGACGATATTTGGGAATCAGTCATGGGACGCAAAGACATTTGGGGGCAACGTTGTGGGATTCTAAAACGTTTATTAACCTTCTTACACTTTGAAGTAAATGCGTATTGAGTTCTAATGTCAACAGTCGTGTCTTCAGCATCCTCTTCTAGAACGGGACAGCAAACCCAAGCTTACACACATGTCAAAGGAATTCTGATTGGTGGTGCGTTGGCTTAAAGCTTAGATCCCTCGATTTATAGAGTTCGCTGTTCTATAGGGGGACACTTGGCTAAGAGGCATTGCCTTAGGTTGGTTGTAGCAAATGTAAAAAAAAAAAGTCTGAGGTTTTTATAATTCAGCTAGGTCACGTTATGAATCAAATTATGTCCTCTGAAACATGGAATGTATACGGAGATAGAGCCTGATAAATGCAGTAAGTTTTGTATTAGGCCATCTTAGGGATCTGAGGTCGTTAGCAATATACGTATATAGTTAATACATGGTTTACAACTCTGATGGTTTCCAGCTTCAGGCAAGAAGTGTTTCATTGCTGTATTTTAAAAAACAGGAAAACTGATAAATTGGTTAATGTGGCTACAGTTTGACAAGGCAGGGGGGATATAAAGGAAGGAACTAGTACATCGTTTGATGTTCTGGAAGAAATAGATTTGGCAGAGGTTGTAAACAGAAGACTGAGAGGCTTCAGATTGAGTTTTTGAGTCTGTAACAAGTATTGTCTCCCTCAATGCTAGGGGAAAAGAAAAACAGGCAAAGATGAAGAAGCCAATTTAATCTGTAGTAGGGCTACATTGTTTAAAATTCGGGGAAAAAAGTCCTGGAAGTAATGAAGTGTATAGCTGCTCCTCCACTTAAGGATGTGGTTACAGCTAGATAAACCCCATTGTAAACTGAAAACATCCTGAGTTAAAAATGCATTTAACACATGGAATCTACTGAGTATTGTAGCTCAGTTTACCTTGTCTTGAATGTGCTCGGAACACTAATGTTAGCCTTCGTTTGGGGAACATCACCAAACACAAAGCCTGTTTATAGTGGGAAGTGTTGAGTATGCCATGCAGTTTATAGACTCCTGAAAGTCAAGAGCTCAGTATTTGTAGGGGGACTTAGAGTGCGGCTTCTAGGGAGTGTGCTTCTGTTTCTCACCATCGTAAAGTAAAAAAACCCTACATCTGGCGCCAATCTGGATTTGAAGGGCATCTGCCAAAAGATGGTAGTCAGTGCAGTTATTTGAGAGGGAATTGCTGATAAAAATATAGTGGAAAAATTGGGTGGCGCCTGTGGCTCAAAGGAGTGGGGCACTAGTCCCCCGTATACTGGAGGTGGCTGGTTCAAACCCGGGCGGGCCAAAAACTGCAAAACATTTCCTTTATAAAAAGAAAAAAATACAGTGGAAAAATCATAGAGGGATGTTTGAAGGGCCACCAGCAGCAGACAATGTGAGAAAATCTACATAGAATCTGATACAATGTCAAGAAAATGTGTAATCCATGGTCTTAGTTGTAGAGAGAGGTCGAGAGGTATAGTATTGTAGAACAGGCTTTTTGAATTGTCATTGGAAACTTCAAGGAAAATTTCTGGAGATTAGAGTTTATCAATGACAGAACATGGAGGGCAGTGTCCAAACAAAGATGCACCATTCTAAGATTTGGAAACATTTTAAAATTTACATCAGAATGTTTCAAAATTAAGATTAATGCTAGATTTGTTCTCTTTTAGCCGTCTTCATAAAAAGCAGAGTACATGTTTATGTGAACAATGTTGGGGGTGGCTGAACGTGTACATTTAGTCTGGTAGCACCCTTCTTATCTGGAAGCCAGACTAATGAACACTGTTCCAAAGCCACATATACCATAAGTGGAAATGCACACAAATTCCAAAGAAAAGTCTCTCACATAGAATAATTTTCTCTACTTTATATAAACTTCTAGTACATTTTCTCTATTTTATATAAACTCTATGTAAACTTCATTGCTAGTAACGAAAATAATTTTATGGTTGGGGGTCACCACAACATGAGGAACTGGGCTGGCGCTTGTGGCTCAAGTAGCTAGGGCGCCAGCCACATACACCTAAGGTGACGGGTTCGAATCCAGCCCGGCTGCCAAACAACAATGATGGCTGCAACCAAAAAATAACTGGGCATTGTGGCAGGTGCCTGTGGTACCAGCTACTTGGGAGGCAGAGGCAGGAGACTCGCTTGACCCCAGGAGTTGGAGGTTGCTGTGAGCTGTGATGGCACGGCACTCTACCCAGGGGGACAGCTTGAGGCTCTGTCTCAAAAAGAAAAAACAAACAAACATGAGGAACTGTATTAAGGGTTGCAGCCTTAGGAAGGTTGAGAACCACTGTTCTAGGCGGTTTGGTTATGTGCGTTTTTTGCACGTTGTAGGCTAGAAGGTGACTGGAACACTCAGCAAAACATAGACAGCTGTCAACAGCAGAGGAGACGGAAGAGCTGGAAGTTCAGTCTGGGTGATTTAGTCCCTGGGCTGAGAATCTTAACTTCTGGAGCCTCCGTGTTCAACTACTGATTATGGACCTTAGTATCAAGGAAAAGTTTGTTTTCACTATATATAGCATTTAGTCTGAGATAGATGTATGTAATTCATTATAGAAATTCTTCCCCTAGAAATGGTTAAAATAATAAAAGCTCAGGTGCTTCACGGATAGCTTTTAGTCACCTATACAGAACTCAATTCTGTGGAACCTCTTAGTGCCATTGAGCCTACTGGCCCTAGAATCCTATGTTCCAGATTTCTTTTGAAAGAGGAATACTTGTGGAAAGACAATGTATCATTCTATCAGTGGAAAACATTTGAAGCTTAAATCTCAATCAAAGTGTATGCCGCAAGCACGTTCAGCAGGATGTGCTTGAAAATTTCCACTGTGGCTCCTCTCCCCACCCTCTGAGTCAAAGTCTGCCCTGCCTATTACACCTGTCAAGCCTAATTTCTTGAATTGTACTTTAATGTCAATGAAAAGAATGCACTTTCCCAGGTTTTAGAGACTGAAAAACAAGAAAGAAACTAGAATGTTACCAGGTGATGACAACAAGCTAAGTGGAGAAAAAATCATCGCTGTATTATTAGTGCACTTCTGGGAAACCCAGCACATCAGCATAGCTTGTTAGCACATTACTTGCTTTAGGACAGCCTGTAAGACGCTATTGGTGTGTAGAATTAGGGAGGGTGTAATTATTTTGGTGGTGTCTCCCCCATTTTATTTTCTCTCCTCTGCCTAATATTGTCCCCTAATGGAAGAATAAAGAAATCACTGATGTACAAAAGTGAAAGCACTTTTTTTTTTTTAAATAGAGGATCAGCATGGTAGTTAAAAGTACAGGTTCTGACATTAGATCACCTGGATTTATTTATTTATTTATTTTGCAGTTTTGGACCGGGGCTGGGTTTGAACCTGCCACCTCTGGCATATCGGGCCGGCACCCTACCCCTTTGAGCCTCAGGTGCCGCCTGACCACCTGACCACCTGGCTTTATTTATTTATTTTTTTCAGACCACAAGGAAACAGCATTTAATGACCCTCCCCTCCATGTGGCTTCAAGCCACCAGGACACAAGCCCCTCCAACACCCTTAATCTTCTCTTCAGCTCTTCTGCTGAAGAATTTGGCCTTCACAATGACGGGCTGCTTTGGGAGTTTTCCCTTCCCCAGAACTTTGTAGTAGCCTGATCGTACTACATCAATGATGGGAGCAACTCCTGTCTTGTTTTTGGCAGCATTTACCCGTGTCTGCTCACTGACCAATGTCCACAATTTATCAAGGTTGACAGTTGGGCAATAGCTCTGGTTCCTCTTTAAGTGGTAATGTCTCATACCAACTTTCCCAAAGTAACCTGGGTGATATTTGTCGAAGTTGATCCTGTGATGATGCATACCACCAGCATTACCTCGGCCTCCTGGGTGCTTCCTGTGCTTGCCTATACGGCTGTGGCCGTGGCCGTGGCCGTGGCCGTGGCTCACGTGGCCCCGAGGCTTCCAAGTCTTCCTCAGTCTGGATGGCATGTCGGCGGCCAAGACGAAAAAGCGACCACCTGGATTTAAATCCTGATTTTGTTTCATACTAACTTTGGGCAAGCAATTCACCTCTGCTTTTTAGTTGCATTCATATTTAAGATGGTTCGCTAACTATGCAATTGTTCTCATGCTTTAGTATTTAATTTTTTTTTTTTTACTATTTCAATAGATTAAGGGTATACAGTGTTTACATGAATGAATCGTGTAATTATTATTATTATTATTTTTTGAGATAGAGTCTCACTTTGTCGCCCTCAGTAGAGTGCAATGATGTCATAGCTCACAGCAACCTCAGACTCTTGGGCTCACGTGATCCTCTTGCCTCAGCCTCCCAAGTAGCTG